GGTGGGGGGCAGGGGCCCCAGCCTGTCCTGCCCTCCCTGGAGTGATACCCAGTTTTGTGGCGGGGACCCCGCGTCCTCAGAGAGGGTGTCTGACACGATCCAGGACGCTTCCAGCGAGCGGGAAGCCCTAGATGTCACCACTTTCCCGGGAAGTGGGGAGAAGGCTTCTCCAACTGCCAGGGAGCCAAGTTGGGAAGGAGTGAAGGAAGAACTCGGGGCTGGGCGCTGGGGGGACTGGTGGGTCACGACTGAAACTTGATCTGGAACCTTTGGATGGGGCTGGAAACAAACAATATCCTGAATTGGACATTAAAAAAAATTCCAGATTTGTGAGTCTGCAACTCGACCGAAGTCTGTATCGTGTTTTACAAGCGGTTAGAAAGGCTTCACGTGTGGGAGGTCGAGGCGGGTTGGATCTGATCTTGGCTGAGCGTCTGACTCTGCAGTTTGGATTCCATTCTTACTGCCTCACCTTTAAGGTAGTTGCAGTAGTAACTTGTTCATTTTTATTGTGGAGAAGGGGTGACAAGTAATTCTCCCGGGTAACGCCGCCAGTACATTTGTTTTCTGCAGTCGTTCTGATTTAAGGCTGGGGAAAAGTTTCCGGGTACTTTGGAGTAGCAATGGGAGTGAAAGGGTGAGAGTGGTCCTAGCACTTTTTATAGGGCCCGGGCAGCTGGGGTAGGAAATAGGACTGTCTCTATTTTCTTATCTTCTGTCAATGTATTTCCTAAACATTTGTAGACTCTGGCAGACTCCACTGGGTGGTCTTTTTACTAGAAATAGAAATATGCTCAGGTATTACCTTTCCCCTCTGTTGTAAAAAGGAAAAAGAAAAAGGGGAAGAAAAAAAAAGGCAGAACTGGTCTCTTTGGAAAGCTGGAAAGAGTTTCTCCACAAAGTGGTATTACAACTGAACAGAACTTTGGTGATTTGATTCCTTAGTGAATTTAATATATGATGCACGTGCCTTTCTGCATTGCTTACTTGGAGAAGTGTTTTGTAGTCTTCCCAGTCTATTAGGAACAGAGTTTAGAATTAAGAGTCACTGTATCACTGTACTGCATTATACATTTTAATATTTTGGTTCAAACACAAGATTTGATGAACACCTCAGCAATCTTGCTTTCTGCATCCCTTAATATCCTTTTTAATGATCTAAAACTTGTCATTTGTATTTCTTAATATATGAAATTTTTATGTGAGCCTTGAAAGTTTCGATTTGCGATTCAAAATGCAGAGCAAATATTTAATTCTTGATCTAAGAGTGAGAGGTTAGTTCAGTAATAAGACTTGCTAATCCCACTTTGAAATGTCATGGCATTCACAAATTATTCCTAAATTCTTCAAAGATAGGGATTTATAATGAGTTTAGTTATTCTATTGTCTATTTGGGGATTGTTTCTATCTTTCTTCCTGTTGCATTTGCTTTAACAATTTTGCCCCTTTTTCTGCATGAATTTTAATATTCCTTTTACTCAAAACTACTTTTCATGCCAAAAATACTTTTTCTAGTAGTAAATTTATATTATGAAACTTAAAAAAGAATATGTTTGAAAAAGTAATTCCTTCAAATAAGACTCATGTTTTACATACACTGTCTAGTTTTAGTGAGAAAATTAGTTATGTCAGTAACTATGCCAGTGTTTATGTATTTGGAAATAACTGTGTCAGTGTTTATATATTTGGAAAACTATATGAATATCCTATACTAATAACATTAGGTTAGCAATCCATAGGAAAAGAATATCAACCCTAATGAGGGTTGCTTGATTATTTGAAATAAAGCAGATAGATTTATAGTAGAATTGGGACTAGTTATTTCTCCAAATGGAGTCATTTTGTATAACTGTGTTTATTTTCTAGAAAGAAATGTTTTAGGCAAATTATAGAGGCTTTTCTTACTATGATCTTGTAGGCGTGTCATCAGTCTTTGGGTTAGAAAAGAGAGCCTGCTTTATTAGGGTGAAGACAAAGAGAGATAAGGATGCTTATCTTTGAATAGAAGAACACTCCTAAATAGCGTGAAAAGTTTTAAATTTATTCAGGAAGAAAACCTAGCTAAACAATAATGATCCAGTTAGTAAGTTCAAGCAGTCTTTCTTAGCTTTGCCTTTGAGAGCCAAGAGTAATTATTCTCTTTGTAAAGAGTCAAGCAAAGCAGAAACC